CGAGGCGGAGCCCAAACCCGAGGGTCGGGCGAGGCAGAACAAGCCCTTAGAGGTCAGGCTAGATGGAGCCAGCCCCCAGAGGTCAGACGAGGCGGAGTCCGCCCTCAAGGGTCGGGCGAGGCAGAGCCTGCGGCCTCGATGTTGGGCGAGGCAGAGCCAACCCTCAGGGGTCGAGCGAGGCAGAGCTAGTCCTTAGAGGTTTGGCGAGGCGGAGCCAGCCCATAGAGGTCGGGCAAGGCGGAGCCAGTCCTCAGAGGTCTGGCGAGGCGGAGCCAGCCCACAGAGGTCGAGCGAGGCGGAGCCCACGGCCTCGGTGTCGGGCGAGGCGAAGCCAACCCTCAGGGGTCGGTTGGAGCTGTAGTCGTGCTCTTGACTACTCGAACGAATCTATGTTGATGGTTATTAGCTTCTCTTCGGGTACCCTAGTATTGGTCCTCGACAGATATATATACTAGTAGAGAACAGACCTTCGGTTCAACACATTAGTCCCAACTAGAGTTGGCATTGAATAACCTTTAGTCCCGGTTGGTGCCATCCACGGGTAGGGCTGGATATCGAGCCAGCTCGGTTCGGCTCGTTCCAGCTCGAGCTGGCTCGTTAAGCTAACGAGCCAGCTCGGCTCGGCTCGTTAATATTACGAGCTAGAGGGGCAGCTCGGCTCGGCTCGTTACCGAGCTCGAGCTGGCTCGTTTAGCTCGCGAGTTACTAAAAAATAGGACACACATGTTTATAATGTTTATGCTACATTAATTCCAGAAGGTGACGTCCATCGTTATGCAATCATACATGATTAATACATAACAGGTTTATCAAAAGTATCAACCATGCAACATAGCTGGTCCATCCATGATCATGCAGTTTCACCATACTAACTAGTTGCTTGCCACCACAAACTTAGGAAAGTCCACAGATTCAATGTCAGCATCATCATCTTCTCCCTGGAAAACAATCAATAAAATCAACATTTAAGTACCACAACAATTATAAAATTAAAATTCATATGAAACAGCTAAAAATAAGGATTACATACCAATAGAATAAGTGTACACTTCTAGGTCAGCATCATTATCTTCTGGATTCATGGCCGTAGGCTGATAGGCCTCAGCTCGTTTCAGCTCTTGAGCAGCTCGCGAGCTGGCTCGTTAAAATAGCGAGCTAGACTTCCAGCTCAACTCGTGAAAAAAGTTAAAATGAGCCGAGTCGAGCCGAGTTGAGTCGGTCATGAGTCGAGCTGAGTTGGCGAGCCGCGAGTATTTTATCCAGCCCTATCCACGGATTAGTTTAAAAGGAAAGCATCCAATCTAAGGTCACATGTGCTATGTAGTCAGAGTTGGAAAGTTACGCTCGAGACAATACATGAGATCTTGGGTGGTTGTCCCATGAGTCACACCAATTTGTTTTTAGCCTCACAGACTCTTTAGTCCCGGTTCAGACAACCAGGAGATGGCCCTCTAGTCCCAAATCCCAACCGGGACTAGAACCACTTTTTGTGCTAGTGATAATTAAATGCTAGACGTGTTTGTGACTATGAATTGTGAGCCCCATGGGTAACTTAGTTTTCATTAAGCTGGATTTCTTACCAAGGCCCTGTTTAGATGCGAAAATTTTTAGCTTTTGGCTACTGTAGCACTTTCGTTTGTATTTGGTAAAAATTGTCCAATTATAGACTATTTAGGCTTAAAAGATTCGTCTCGCCAATTACGGATAAACTGTACAATTAGTTATTCTTTTTACTTACATTTAATGCTCCATGCATATGCCGCAAGATTTGATTTGACGGGGAATCTTGAAAATTTTTGGATTTTAGGTGGAATCTAAACAGGGCCCAAGTTGTATTACCATGAAGATACAAAACTTCTCTCTCCTCGTTACTTCCCTCTGTCTAGAAATGACTTACTTGACCAGAGAAAAAGTCATGCAAAATAGATTTTGACCCTTAAGTTCTTTTATCGTATGTACTTAAGTGATAAAAGAATCAATATCAACACAAAATCTATTGATGCAAGTTTTGTGCTTTAAACTTGCATATAATTTGACTATTTTTTTGTTAAAATGTATAAAGTTTAACTTTTTCTATGATCAAATATGATTATCATTAACTTCTGGACGGATGGAAGGAGTAGTTTGGCACCATGCCAGCAAAAATCCTATTATGTCAGACCATTTAATGTGCATGATCTAAATTACCTACAGGATTAGCCTAATTACTCCTATATGCATGTGTATATGGACATTTAATTGTGGCAGCTTATCCAACATCATGCCTAAACAAAAAGGCAACTACTGTCATTTCACCTCTGAGCTGCAGATCTATCTTTTTTTTCTAGAGTTAAGCATGCTTTCTTTTTAGGACGTAGTAAATAATGATAACTGCGTGTTCTATAATGTGAAACTCACAGTGAGTACCACTTGAACCCTAGTCTACGTCCAAAAATATCGATTCTACGGGGGAGACATGACATGACCCACAAATACTATATGGAAGGACTTTAATTATTTGTGTTTTGTCACTGTGTGTGCATGGTTTAGTCGTTGTACTAGTTCGTTTCATCCCCAAACCAAGGGGGTTGGAGGTGATTGAGAGAGGGATGGATTTAACCTCCTACAAGTCAAAGTCCTCCTCAGGGCTCGTTCGGTTATTTAGCAACGAGTTCATGAAACAGTTCTCAATTAGAATAGTTCACTAATTTGTATAATGTTGATAAGCCGGAATAGTTTCTAGCTCCGTTCCTAGCTAACCGAAGGGGCCTCATTCCTCCCATCCTCTCCAAACCCCCTTGGTTTGGAAAAAGAAACTAACAGGGCTGAATGAGAACCTGGACGGTGGGGCGGTGCTCAATGTCTGTGTTTGAGAGCAGGGTGGCCATGGAGAACCAACTGAACGTTTTTGAGCTGGTTGTAGCTAGGGTTTCGCAAACGGATAGCTTAATTAATTTGGCTGAGGTACATGTACGTGCTGACAATTTGTATTGATGGAAACCTCAATCATGCATGCAAAGATGCATGGATAGACGGTGGGTGGGATTTAGTTCGTTTCATGATGATTCGGGAGGGAGAGGATAGTTAGATCCACTGCCAATAATGTTTGTTGGGGTAGGTGCTCGTCAACTCAAATGTCTTTTCTCAGGATCTCTAGCTTGGAACTGGAAGGGTGCCGTGCCATGACTCATGCAGAGGTTCATGGCAACATATATAATGTCAACTGAATTTGGATCCGTCTACTAGCATGTGTGACTATTGGTGACAACAATTCAAAATAATGAGGGTTTATGGCATTACACCATTTTGGCAATGTTAATTAAGCTTTAGGTTGCCCTTCTCCTGACATGGGTTTTTTCTTGGCTCACTTCTCTTCTCTTTCCTATCTTCATTCAATGAGCTTAGGAGTTACTCCTGTTTTTTAAGCCCACAAGATAGAAAAAAAACTAAAGGTGGATCTCTTTACTGAAAAATATAGGATGTGCTCTCAAATTAAGCTAAATCGAGATCTCTCTAGATTTAACTTCAAGCTTCAGTTGGGAAATTGAAAAGGAGGGTTTATGGTATTAGAGTACCATGTTGTTATCAATGTTTAGCTTAGGTTGTCTTTTATCAAGTGTTTTTTCATTTTTACTAAGTGTCAATATCTCTATCATGTATTTTCAGTGAATCTACGGAAGTGGCATTATGGAGAAAAAAGTTGGAGTAGTGGCTGCTTGAAAAAAAGTCTCAAAAATATAGGATGTGCTCTCAAATTAAGCTAAATCGAGATCTCTCTAGATTTAACTTCAAGCTTCAGTTGGGAAATTGAAAAGGAGGGTTTATGGTATTAGAGTACCATGTTGTTATCAATGTTTAGCTTAGGTTGTCTTTTATCAAGTGTTTCTTTTTCGAAGTGTCAATTCTCTAATGTATTTTCAGTGAGCTTGAAAACTGATCTTTTTTTTTTGAACGACAATAGTATGAGCTCTGTCTTTCAACTAAGAGGAGAGCGTGATATTTTTTTTCTCGTATACGCAAAAGGCTTGCGTATCGTTGTATTAAGATTGAGAAATATTTTGATTACAACATGGCACACTAGGGGGGCAAATGATTTTATACAAGCTTATCCCCACCTGGCGGACTTTGAACAAGGTGATTAGTAGCGCACGAGACAACCTAGTTTCGCTGCCCGGCGTCTATGCACTAGTCTACCAAGTGCCTTTTGTCCGTGAGGATTTGCATAACTGTGGACGAGGCTTGGCGAAGGCACCTTCCATTCCTCTCCAAGCCACGTGAGCGAACAATGAGTCCGCCCCTTTCCATTCCTGTCATCTCCTGTCCAGCGAGCTCGCCATGCGTTCCACCATGCTTGACGGTTGTCCCTTCCCACCTTGGGAGGTATCCACGCCTAGTACCTGCAGGATGTGCCACCGTACCATACTTGTCTGGAGTAGGCCGGAGCACGAAGCAATGATGTGGTCGACGGACTCCATTTCCTCGTCACACAGGAAGCAGTGCTCGGTGGCTTCGAGCCCATGGTGCACTCGCCTGTCAGCAGTCCAGTGCCTTCGCCGCACTGCTAACCATAAGAAATATTTTGACACGAAGCGGTGCCCAGATTTTCTAGATCCTGTCGCAGCCGGGACGGGGGTGTGATCCCAAGTGTAAGTCGATCTGGATGAGTACACACCGTCCGCTGTCCACCGCCATACCAAGGTGGTGTCCTTTGCGTCACTGAGCTCGACGTCTTGCACACGATCCCAGGTCCCAGATATATAATTCTAGTAGGAGTACGTACGTATTTCTTTACTGAAAGAACAAATATACAATAATGGGGAAGAATTACCCTAGCTGTTTTGTTTTGGTAACTACTACATACAAGTGACGACGACCCAACACGATGACAAATCCAAGTTTCACTCGCAAATGGAGAGTAAAATGTACTATAGCTCCCTGCTTCCAAAGTTCGCAAATAACACGCGTTCCGCGATGCACTGCATGCGTGCATTGCTTGCGTACGCTCGCACATGCAGCTCCAGCTACGACGCCGACCTCGCGTCGACGCCGTCGTGGCCGGCGATCATCCGGTACTTGTCCCTGCGCGTGAGCCCGGTGCACTCGAACCCAAGCGCGTCGCCGATCACGCGCTGGACGCCGTTCGCCACGTCGACGCTCGACGCGCCGCCGCCGTCACTGCCGCAGCTGGCCACCGGCGTGAGGATCCGGATCTCGTACCACGGCGCCGGGTTCATAAGGAAGAAGAGGGAGTCGAGCCACTTGTGTCCCCGCACCGTGGAGCCGTGGAACATGGCGCCGCCGGCCCGGACGGCCGTCGGCGTGACCTCGCCGGCGATCTCGGCGAACAGCGGGCTGAACCGGAGCAGGTAGGGCTCCCGGCAGGTGGTGCCCTCCGGGCAGACCACCAGGTCGCCGCGGGTGAGCTCGCCCTGCATGATCCGGCTGTCCCTGCCGCGGTCGCGCGTCAGCCGGACGGTCGGGATCGGCGCGATCAGCTCCGAGAAGCTCGAGAGGCTGTACGTCACGGCGGTCACCTTCCGGCGCAGCACCGTCGAGAGGATCACCGGGTCCATCAGCGTCTGGTGGTTGCACGCGAACAATGTGCCTCGCCCCGGGCCCGCCGGCTCCGCCGCTCCACCGAGGGTGCCGCGTATCCGGAAGCCGGTGGCCGCGGCGAGGAGGAAGCCCGGCGCCGTGGGGGAGGAAGCCGAGGAGGAGGCGCGTCACGGACAGGAGCACGCCGAGCGGGAGCCACAGGAAGATGGCGACGCACGCGAGCGGGTCGGGCCGGCACACGAGGCGGCCGTCGTGGAAGACCAGCGGCCGCGGGTACTCGCTCCTCGGCAGAGGCGTCGCCGGCACCTTCTCCGGCGCGGACACCACGCGGCGCTCCTGGCAAACCTGCAGAAACGCCGGCTGACGGTCCCCGCCAGCGCTGGCGCCGCCGGAGCAGTAGAGGCCCACGTCGACGATCCGGCCGCGCCCAAGAACGGCCACCAGAGCACCCAAGCTCCGGTCACCGCCACCCACGACGCCGGGAGAGGCTACCACCGTGCCGGAGAACCGCTTCCCAGCGACAACCCGCAGCTCCGTGCCAACTACGCGGACGTCGGCGCCGAGGTACTCCCTCACGAACGGCTCCGCGACGAGCCTGGGCAGGCGCGTGACGACGTACCTCTCATCACCTCCGGTGGCGTGGCGCGCCAAGGCCCAGAACGCGCTGCCCCGGAGATCGGCCAGGAAGAACCTGGGCAGCGTGGCGCGCGCCACCGCCGTCACATCGCCGACGCCGAGCCCGGCGGTGGACAGGAAGGTCATGGCGAGCAGCGGGAGGTCGTCCGACGAGAAGGCGGCGCCGAGCAGCGCGACGAGAGGGTACGCGGCGACCAAGAGTAGAGCCCTGAGCGGACCGCCGGCCTCGAGAGCCACGAGGAAGAAGTATGGGAAGAGGCTGCCGGAGATGAGGAGCGTGCCTTCCAGCTCGGAGGCGACGCTGGTGCAAGGGTGATGAGAAGCAGCCATGGCCGTGGCGTTGGTGGAGTTGGAGTGTCACTTGGGAGTTGGGACTTGGCTACTACTCAAGGAAGAGCTAGTTAAGCTTAAATAATCAGTGTTAGTTTCGACATCGGTGTCTATGTATATGCACTGCTCTCTCTCCATTTTTCTTTTTTCGTATTTTTATTACGCACTCTTGGTGCCTGTACTTAGAAGTTAGAACCTGGCACTGGAAGTTTATGCAATTTTTTTTTTTTTTAGAATCTAGAAGTTTATGCATTGTGAACCGTTTGAGGTACTGGAAATTTATTACATTTCGTGACAATCAGTATTTATTTATGTGATGCGGAATTATATAATCACAAGCAAATATATTTTTTTCAACACAAATGTAGTGATATCAACTCTCTTTTTCTTAAAAAGTTATGTATTAATTAAGTAATGAAATGTTTGTCCGGAAGAAACGAAATAAGCCTTATAATTTTAAACAGGGATGGTATATTCCAAAAGATATACTTTTATGTTCCATTCATGTTTTTTTTTTGAGGTGTCTATTATAATATACTTGTATAATATAACAAGTTTATGAGGTTATCAAAGCTACTTTCAATGACAAATAAGTGACCCTTTCGGGATCATCTAACTTGATCCTTACAAATGTTTACATCTACTTTTCATGTTACAATATATATATCTATAAAACATGACTAAGGTATAGTTTTCTAAAATTATTTTTCAAGAAAAATCTACTACATATCACTTTCAAACATTCAAACTCAGCTGTGGAACATTCAAACTCACTCTGTAGTCAAAGTTTGGATGTGAGAATCAGTTCCGATTCTCTTTAGAATCACTAGAAACTCTTTCAAATGGTCAAAAGACAATACTGATTCTAGGCAGAATCGTTTCTAGTGATTCTCTTTTTTTACTAGAGAACATAATCTGTTTCTTGCTTTCCTACCTCCCATCGAATCTACAAATATCCCATCTGATCTAAAAATATTTCTAGGATCCTCTTCAAGTGAAACCAATTAAAATTGATTGCTTTTGAATTGACCTTGACCCCCCAAAATTACCATTTTTTGTAAAACATACATTTTTATGATTTTTTTCATGTAAAACAATAATTTTTTACTCCCTTCAAGAATCAGAATCCAACCAACTAACCAAACAATTTGTGAAAGTGATCTTGATTGACCAGGAAAAATCGTTTCTGACAGGAAACTGAATTTAAAATGTTTCTGAGAGTGGATCTCTATCAAAAGCGACCTAATTTGCGACTGGAGGGAGTATATTTCCATAGTAGATCTTTTGAAAATATTGACAATGTTTTTTCCCTAGATCTTGCCCGAGAATAAGCATTTGCTACTCAAGCATTAAATATATATCTCCTGTAACAAAAAAAAATCGTTCTAGCTTGATACTTTACATTAGATAAGATTTCGCCACTTACGGAACAAGCTAAAAAACACCTTAGTGTCTTTTAAAAAGGCCTCAACACATTATTTTAATGTCTCATATTTGTATCAAGTTTTAGACTTTAGAGAACAGAGATAGTGAATACAAGAAATAAAAAATAAAAAATGTTTCATAGCTTCCTAACACATATTTTTTCGTACCTTAGTTACAATTAGTTTATATTAGAATTAGTCTCTTGTGTTTGTGTAAACCTACAGCGATGATGGCGTAATAAAAATAGATTGCTAAGGCATATAATAACACTTAGTTTTTCTCTCTGGTAACTACAAAGTTATATCTAATCCGAACCATAGATCTTAAATCGAATGGATAGAAAGACAAGCCTTGAGAATTGAGAGCCACAAAGCATGGGTGTTGTGCAGACTGTCCTGATCGCCAATCAAAGCTCAACTTTGGATATCATGAAAGTTAAGCCACCACACCTTGTGTAAACCAACAAGGGGATACTACTGCCTTCCGTACTTGGAAGTACTTTGACGTGATCCTAAAACCTACTGCCTCAAAAGTCTAATTCTCAACTGTTATTTCTGCAATCTCAAGACGTTGAGTGATGGACTAGAATGGCTGGAAAGTTTGGGAACACATGATGCACCGAGAAGCAGAGCTCATGGTGGAGTCAGCAATGGAGGTTAGAGACGGCAAGCAGTGGGAACATGCCGGCGATACGGGTGCGTCACATGAGCAAGACATGAGCATGGGGCCTAAAGAAAGAAAGGCTGCGTGCAGATATGCAGCTGGGATACGATGTGATATGCCCATACCCAACTCCTTGTCACAAATATAAAGCAACAGAAGTGCAGTGGTTATTTTGTATCTAAAAATGCCAACTTGCATCAGTTGCATGTGACAACGTATACTTATTCAATTGCACATATATTGCCCAGAAAGATCTCCTGAAAAGCAGAAAGAAAGAGGTGTCAATGTATGTGCAATTGAATAAGTCTTCTTTTTTATATATAAAAAAAAGGCTCCACAGTAGCAGCCATAGACATGAGTTAACTAATATAAAAAAAAAGGGCTGTTCAAAGTGTAAGAATCACATGATTTTTGTAAAAGCAATTTTATAGAAAATTTGCTAGGTTCCCCAGAAGAGTCAGGAAAAAACATCCATTATTCAAACAGGGTCCAAACCTGCTTCCCAACTACCTGGTCGGGTAACACATTCTCCAAACTTCGGATGATAGCTAGTTGCCAAATACGCTACGAAATATCAGGATTAAGAAGTAATTGAGGCCATAATGCTTGGAAGCCTAAATTATTGCCCTAAGTACAGGTTTACATCAAGCAGCTGACCTTCCCAGTAAGGATGCCCATGGTTTTTAATTTTTAAATTGCAGGCAGCAAATCTACTTTGGTGTTTGATAAGCTGCCCATCCCGACCAATGGTCAAGCTCTTTGTCATCTTGTTACTGTCAGGGAATGTGATGCAACAACTACATGCACTTCATTACTTGATCTAGTCTTGGCATACAATGCTACGCTAATCCTATGAAACACAGAAAATCAGGAAGCAAAGCAAGCCAAGGCAACCCTTTAATCTGGACTCACAAGCCGTCACAACATGAGGATGGCTGCGTGCATCGGCTAGGTGTTAGTCGTTGAACTCTCACTCTCGATTAGCAGAATTCTTACTCTCATCGAGAGAGGATGACACTAAGAGTTGGGACAATATGTTAGTCATTGAACACTCACTTTCGGTAGTAGCAAAATTCTTACTCTCATCGAGAGAGGATGACACTAGGAGTTAAGGCAATTTTCTGGTTTATTTATCACACAAACTCGCACAAATGACATGCTAACCTGAGAGGTTGGGGATACATATTTATAGGCTGCTAGCCAGCCATGCATATGTCAAGATGCTAGTCTAAGATGCTGTCCTCTAGATGTTAATCTAAGATGCTGTCCTAGATGCTAATACTAGATGCTAAGATGCTGTCCTAGCCAGTCAAGGATGCTATTCTTGTGGCAGCAACAGCCAACGGTCCTTGTGGCAGCACAGCAACAGCCAGCAGCCCCACAGTTCTTGTGGCAGCAGTACAGCAACAGCTAGCAGCCCCACAAAGACCAGACTAGCCACACAACACAGAGACTTATCCATCACTGAGATCTTTTCACACCACTATCTTTAAAAATAATAAAGATAAAGTCGCACCATGAGGACTGTGACCACCCCATGCGAAGTTACCATGAATACCCGGTGTTCGGACTTGAGACCAAGAAGACAACGAAATCAGGCAGCCAAGAACTGATGAAGGAAAACAACCTTTTAACCACAGAGATTTCAAAAATATTTTAAATAGAAGGAATTGTATTAAAATAGAGGAATTGTACTGGCCATTTAAAATTGGAGGAGGGTATACCAACAAGTAACAGGCAGCATGGAATGAGTTGTTGTCAAAAGAAATGAAACCTAACATTTACCTACCCATCCTGAGTTAAGATTTGGGTACCTGGCAGTTTGCTATCGTTTGACTGATCAATCCAACTGCAAGAACACAAAATTTTGTCTTGTCGCAGTTAGGAAAAAAAAAACTCAACCGGGGGGTTAAGACTGCCCCTGCAGCATTACAAATAAGAAGAACGACCTTCTCACCCGACCGAGAAAACCCCGAACCCCCACCCCCACCCTTACACGGTGGCTTTCCGTCGCCCAAGTGAGAATTGGGCCGGTGCCCCCCCAGTGCTTTGGTTATGGGGACGGGCGAGGGGATTTTTTTAACTCAGCCTGAAATTCGCTCCCACGATGAGTCGAACCCAGGACCAGAGGAGTGCCGCTGGATCACCTAACCGTTTGAGCTAGGCGCCCTTTGGCTGTCGCAGTTAGAAGCATATGCTAAATGTGAATTTATCACAAAAAAGCATGGGAATTGGGAACCAACTTGTACTATATTATCATTTAGTTGCTGACAAGGAAACCCAGTTTTACAAGTGAAAGGACATGAATGGTCCAGGAAGATAAACCAGAAAATGCTTTAAGTTGGTAGTTTACTAAACTTGCCAACAAAAAGACCACTGGTTTGTGAAACTGTGGGATCAAATCGCAGTGTTTTGGGGATGCCGCCACTTCTGCAGGGCCAATTATCAGCCAAATCGATCTTCTGCAAATCTGGAAGTTGCAAACGTCACATCAAGGGATAATTTTTCATGATCTGGTCATCAGGGGATAACTGGAAAAACAAGCAACATATACTGGAAGGATATCAAGGAAGTTTAGCATTAACTGAACAAACTAAAAACAAATATCATGGATAAAGACAGCACCTTCCATAGTCCAACTGAAAATTACTCAAACCTCATTTTGCACTTCCCTTCTCTAGAGAAGATGCGGTCATTTCAAGATAAACAATCAGTGACATATCAATAGTTTCCAAACAGAAATGTTTGCACTTTTAGAGTCGTCCAATTACAAAAAAAACATATTAATTCAATTTCCTTTTTTTCATCTCTGCTCTTAATTCTGTATTTGGCTCTTTGCATATTGGTTGATACTATAGAGTTTAATGTCACTTTGTTTTATTAGTTAACACTTCTCTAATGTTGCCTACATTGAACAACATGTCACCTACAACAGTCATCGTATAAATCACTGTTGAAAAAGATCCAGCATGTTGAGACTAAATCAAAACATTATTTAAGATGCCTTGCTAAAAGGTCAGGATGAATTCAGGATGAGGCTTGTCAAGACAAATCCAGTTAAGTTCTGGACACAACCGGTCAACTATATTGGTCCAGTCCACTGAGCTAGCTACAAGAAGACTGGCCCAAGAAAGGTTGGGATGGTATTCCTTGACCAAATCTGGTCACATACTAAGCTGAGCTCGGCTGATTTTGCTCCAATCTCATGAAGACATAAGAAAAACCAAAATGCATTGGACGCTAAATTTCTCTGCAAATGTACCTAGCAATGTTTTTAACAGTAAGATTCACTAAACATATTCTACACAAATAAGGAATATTATTTAGGAAAGTTACAACAGCTAGGATATGCAATCTAAATCAGAAAATGAGCCCCTATTCTGCAAACTAAATAGAACAAAATCACTGAACTACTGAAGTGAGTAACATAGTTTGTACCTGCAGAAGGGTGTGTTGAAAGGAATTGCTGAACCACGCTCTCATTTTGTGCAACTGTCAAGCTATTTGAACGCAAAATCAGTAGGTATTACACAATATGACATGACAATGCCACAGGAGAAGGTATAAATTTTGGTGACTCAGAAATAGATAAGATTCCAAGTTTGTACTCCAATAAGGCCAAATTCCCAGAACAATATTACTCACCTGTAAGTACTATATACAAGTGATCCACCGGTTTTCAACAATTTAAAACCATTTGTGAGAAGATGTAACTGCATAACAGATAAAACCATCTGTTGAGAATATACAGCATAAATTTCACAAGTAACAGAACAGAAACGGGTGCAAGGACATATTAATACATACCCTTTTGGCCCTTCCGTTCCAAATGTAAGTCATTTTGGCTTTTCTAGGTAGATAGCTTTTGTTATGCACCTAGATATACACTATGTCTAGATACATAGTAAAACTATGTATCTAGAAAAGCCAAAAAGACTTACAATTTGGAACGGAGGAAGTACCTAACTGGATCTAAAATATAGATACCGCCTGAATGAAAGAGGTACCTGAAGCTGAAGAAGGTTCTCGGTTCTTTCAGCATCAAGTACACGGCTATCTAGAGTTTTCCATCCCCAGAATTCAAATTTCTGAATGTGTTTTATGGATCCATCATGAGTACACTCCGCATCCACTAGGACCTGCATACGGTTCATCCAAGTGAAGTGAGAAGCATGTGCAACTGGTGAAAAGCATGTTGCGTCTCATTTCTAATCGTGCATGCTGCTTGCTACGGGATCGGGTTGTTCTAATAAAATTTATTAGTCATCACAAAAGATATTTGCACCACAGCAGATGGAGATAATAACTTAAGTGCTACCAAATCACAACAGCTCTTCAATTCAAATAATCCTAAGCACATTAAATCCAAGAAAAGGGTGTTAATACACTATAGTCCAAGCAAAAGATGCTAATATGCTATGAGGATATAACAGAATACCTTATCATAGCCAGATGCACAAGCTTCATCATCAACTGATGGACAAAAGACATCAGATTTACACAGTCCAACTAATCCTGAATGTTTACCATAGTATATCAGTTCAGGTTCCGAAGTGGCCAGTAGGTGCTGTGGACCATTTGCATTTGCTTTCTTAGTCTTCTGCCGATCTTTCCATGATCTTCTTGAAGTCCATTCTGGGAATGTGCTTCCATTTTCTTCAACGCCAATTGAAACTGTGACAGACAGCAAGCAGATGTATCAACTCAAAAAAAAAATGATATTTCCTTTCCCGTGTTCTAAAACAAGGAAACATACAAGGGAAGGAGTTCTTCAAAACAAGAATACCTTCCAATCTTCGCATCCTGGAGTTCACAGGTAAAATGGAAAACAAAGTTCCGTCAGCAACAAAGAGCCGAGTACGGTCACCAAGACAATACTTCTGCAACATTGTACGACAGGCTGCAAGACGGTGCTTTGCAACATCAACACCAGTCAGAGAACCAGTGGTTCCAAGCGTATCTGCGAGCATGCAAAGCTTTGCACCTAGCATATACCAATATAACATATATCAGCATTGTCAGCACAGTGAATAAATATCCAAAAAGGAAAAACCTAACACAAGCAACAGGACTTATAGCAAGATGCTCCATTCTTTTTTATAAAAAAAATACAAATGTACATGTTTATTGAAATTGAGACTGTAATAGTCCAAATAAAACAGGAATGCAACTGGGAGTCACTAGATATGGAAAGTCATAATCTAGCAGTCTTTATAAATGTAATAGATGATTCTATAACAGTAATATAATAGACAAAAAAGATTTTAGAAAGATTACATAGTATGGCTAAACAGCTGTATGCTCAAGTCTCATAAGGTAACATCCTCTTCTCAGAGTAAAGTTTAAAAATACATGCAGGATGCAACAGGTATACTGGGAAAAACACAAAACTACATGTTACAGCCTATCGTTTAAGAAGGATAGCTGAAACTACAAGTGGTTCATACAAATGGAACATGTAGCCAAATAGATAAAACAGGATCAAATGTTCCCTAACCAAAGATCAATCACTCTGGAACTGACTTCGTGCCCTTATGGTAATGGTAATGTTCAAGTAGTTCTTTTACACTGTGGCACCCATGCAGTTCACTAAACAAGCACATCACATTTGTCGTTATTATATCCATTTAACACTAAGAAAACAATGCTCCAATAAAAAAATATTGATATGATAATTTACCTGGGGCAGCACAGAGGTCAAGAACATGGTCTCCTGGTCGAACATCAAGTGCTAATATAGCAGCTCCAGAAGCAGCATCAATTCCATAGATCTGTAATTCATTGAAAATATGTTCAGCTGAAGCAAATGGAAGAAAATAAAAAAACATGATAACGGTTTGCCATGGGGAATTCCAGCTTCTGCCACAAATTGCAGCAGCGAGTATTTATTGAGCATTCAGCATAAGTTCTACTCACACCCCATTGTTAAGAATTGGACATCTCATTTACTGATTTAGCTAGGTTTGACTGCATCTCATCTCTTAAAATATTTATACTTTGAAAAGAAAATGGAATACAATTGCCATTTAGGGTAAATTTGTAAGAACTTGGCTGTGTGTGATCGCAGATGCCAGAACCAGAAATATTGTTTTTTTCCCTAAAAAATAGGGTACATTTACAGACAACACCTTGGAAAAGTTTACATGTGCGTCATCAGACAACACATGCCATCGATTTATACTAGCCTGCCATATTCGTTTAAAGAAAGTATTTAAAAAAACAAGAGTAAAGTCCACTAGCGGTCCTCGAACTTGTTCGGCTGTGTCATCCCGGTCCCTAAACTCGCAAATCAACCGTTTAGGTCCTAAAACTTGTTCATCGTGTCATCCCGGTCCCTAAACTCGCAAATCACTCGTTTAGGTCCTTAAACTTGTTCGATTGTATCATATAGGTCCCTAAACTTGCAAATCACTTGTTTAGGTCCTCAAATTTGTTCAGTTGTGTCATCCCGATCCCTACATACTGCAAACTTGTAAATTCAATATATATTTATAGAATTGTCCAAAAATTATAAATCTAATTTTGTTAGACTCCTGATAACATGTAATTTAAATTAGAATAAAAGAAATTACCATGTACTTTCTATTTTTAAATCTATAGGTCAATAACTAAATAGGCAAAAAGAAATTACCATGTACTTTCTATTTTTAACTCTATAGGTCAATAACTAAAAAGGCACATACATTTTTAGGATTTATAAAAATATACATGCCTATTTAGTCATTTAACTACAGAGTTAAAAATAGTAAGTACATGGTGATTTCTTTTATTATAATTTAAAGTACATGTTACCTGGAGTCTAACAAAATAAGATTTATAATTTTTTGGATAGTTCTATAAATATATATTGAATTTACAAGTTTATACTATTTAGGGATCGGGATGACACAACTGAACAAGTTTGAGGACCTAAACGGGTGATTTGCAAGTTTAGAGACCTAGATGATATAGCCGAACAAGTTTGAGGATCTAAACGAGCAATTTGAGAGTTTAGGGACCGGGATGAAACAGCCGAACAAGTTTGAGGACCGCCAGTACACTTTACTCGAAAAACAATTACATCATGCTGGCATTTAACAGGACAGCTGAACAATCAAATGTGAATTCCTCTTACCTTCCCTTGCTGATAAGCCGTGGAGCCAGCAATCTGAATTTCCGGCGGAATCGCATAGAACCCTGGCAGCCATGAAACCTTCTCGAGGCCACACTTCAACTCGGCTTCGATCTCCGCGATCTGGGACTCCATGCCTGGTTTTAGTCTTGGGATTAGAAAAACTAAATCAAGCTCCCACTTTAGCATACTTGGAAAGGAATTAGAGTAGCAACAAGCAAGCAAGCATAAATGCAAAATGCAAGACAATGCGCAACAAAGAGGTCCTCAACCTCAAGCAGTGCAGAGGTGCAATGCAGCTAGCACGGGTGGGGGTCTGTCACCTTATGTAGCGCGGGATGGTAGCTGCCATTGAGTACACCGCAGGGTCCAGGCCATTCTCGCTGAGGAACTCGAGGAAGGAGGCCGGCAGCGGCAGGGAAGCCGCCTGCCGCTCTCCTCCGCGGTCGGAAGCGGAACCTTCTGGACAATCCGGCTCTTCCATTCTCTCCGGATCAATTTCCCCGAGAAGGAACTGCACAGCAACTGGAAGACTTGAGAATCCTGTAGAAATAACTTCAGAACGGAAACCGAGCTCACCTCGAATGACTTGTGCGCGAACGGACCTGGAGCTTAGAGGATGAGAGGCGCCTCGGCGCCCAAGGCCCGCCGCCGACACCGTCGCAGGGCAAGCCGTGGGAGCCGCTTGCTCTGCTGCCCCGCGCTGCCGGGCGCCAAGGCAGCTCCCCGCCGCCGCCGCCCGGGATGGAGGGGGAAATTTACATATTTACCGTTATAGGCCCCGTTCCTTCAACGTATCAGCCGATTTTTCTCTCGCGACAACCAGTATAAGCATTAGCTATTTTTTTAACCAGTCAAACAGCGCGATAACGATCGCCACTCGCCCCCGTTTCTCATCATTAAAATGGAAATTACATATTTAAAAGATGAGAGAAGTTTGATTTTACCACATTTATGCATGTGGCGTACCACGGCGGCCTGACACGCGCACAATCAATACGGGCATGTAAAAAGACGTCGCTGCCCCTAGCCATTTCTTCACTATTCCTGCGCCGAGCCCACGCTCGCCTTCCATTAAGTACCTGAAACATTATCTCATCTCTGCCTTTGGGAACACTAGCCTAACAGCTGACTCCGAGCCCTTGCATTCATCTGTGCAAATAAATAAAATCTCTATGGAAGCAATGACTTTTCTGAGTTCTATAAATCAAACACAATTCTCCTTTGTCTCAGAGTCAAACAGTCCAAAGGCCAGAGAAAACATCTAATTATGGTCGTCTAGAGCTAGTGCTGCAAGTATGTGGTCATTCCACATCCCATTCAGAGTTGTGGAGTCTATACTAATATAAGGCCTGCAGCCATACAAAAAATCATCTATACTAGCTTTGAATGCACAGAAGAATCTGCTAAATCTAATTTTGCCATCCACAGGATTAGTGACAATATCTATCTCTACCACACTATCAGGTGATCTCAGCTCTATCTCTGTCTTGAACCTATACAACCAATCAAAACAATCATCCCACTTACCAAATAACTTCTCTGCTGCTCTCTTGGTCTCATTGTACACTGTCTGGTAGGGGATGTCAATATTGTACTTGAAATTCAACTCTTCTTTCACTTATTTACGCCCCATTGCTGGCTTCTTCTTCAGCAATGGGATTGCTCTCTCTACAACCCAAGCTATTGATGTCATCTTGCTAACAACCCTTTGTATAGATGCACAATTATGGACCCCCTCATTTACCTATATCTGCATTTTGAAACACAAAACAACCAAATAAGCAAAAAAAACAATATAAACAAACCAACACAGAAAGTACTCCTGTCATTGAAAAATGAAAGAAGTAACAACAAAACATTGCAGAAAAATATACCTGACACTGCCATCATGCTAGGTTCTAGCTCTAATTTTCCATGGGCAGCCTAGAGCAGCACAGTAACCCCTGAACCTTTCTTTGTCTCAATGCTCAGTAGCAAGCTCAAACTCCTTAACTATAGCATGTTGTCTAACAACTAGCTTGAACTCATCCATACTGGGATAGGAAATGCCTACACTTATATCAGGATTGTCCATGTCCTATTCATACATTGGCTCTTCCTCAATTGTGTCATCAACATTCACAGCTGCTTCATTCATATCTGCCTGCATCTCTGCTGTCATACCTGGAATTGGCACCTCTTCCCTATCAGCTGCTTCTTCTGTTCCCTCAGCTTCCATGAATCCTATTGCCTCATATACCTTGTCCTCATCAACTAGCTGTGTTGCTAGACCATCATCAGCAGGGGTCTCAAGTATTGTCAAACTAATCAACTCAACTCTGCTATAGGTTGTTCAAAAGGTAGAGAGGAGGAGCTGCAGGTATCACCACACCCTTCAATATCATCAGGCACATCACTTGGTTCATTGATTACACCAGAGACACATCTAGCTTTAGAAGCAACAGAGCTGGCATTGTCAGTACACCCATGTTTCCTCACCACATCTACTTAAAGAAAAGCCAACCTCTCATCCCATCTGTCCTTAATCATCTGGTGGACATGCTCATCCCTCCTAAGCTTCCACTCAAAGCCAGTATCTTGGTCAAGAACCCAGATCGCAAGTGTTTGAGATGGCCCACATATTATCTTTGTGGCTAAATCCTCATGCAATTGATCCAGAGAGTACTCACTGTTCCTATCAATCCATAAGTCATGTTGCTGCTCTGCCATGTCCACTAGCCCATACTCACCATCAGCCACGTATTTAGCAACCTTAACAACTAGTCTAAACGCACTGCCAGGATCGATCCTGACATCATCATAAACAATGAAACACATGAGGAACTACTCTGTTACTCCGCACCAACGGTACTACATAGCTAAGTGGGTTAAGGACTTACCAAGGAGGGCAATCACCGCTAGCCATTGCGACACGGGAGAAAGACGACCTACTACATCACAAGCCTACGAAGAAAAGAACCGAGGAAGATGAAGTCAGCGGTCATGAACCCTAACCCTAATCGACACGGGAAGTGGGTCCAAAGGGGGATGCAATGCCACATACCTTCGATCCGTCGCAGCGGGTTCAACCAGCGGGCACCAAGGTCACAAGATGCGATCGCCGTCGCGCTGGGACCGCGGGATGGGAGCAGGAGGCGGCGACGGGCTAGGGAAGAAGGCATCGGCGTCGGGGGTATGAAATGAGAGAGGGAGAAGGCGAGGGCGGGCCCGACGCAGCGTAGTGAAGAAATGGCCAGGGGCAGTGAGGTCTTTTTGCATGCCCGTGCTGACTATGCGCCAGCATGTCAGGCCGTTGTGGCGTGCCACATGTGCAAATGTGGTAAAATCAAACTTCAAACTTCAAACTTCTCTCATCTGCTAAATATGTAATTTCCATCCCAAGGATGAGAAACAAGACGAGTGACGATCGTTATAATGGTAAATATATAAATTTCCCGAATAGAGGAGAGGTTTGAGCTGAGACGGTCGGACCCAATGGGACCAGATGATGGGGGTATTTTCGTCATTATTTTACTAGTCTTTTTATTAAAAAATAATATTTTAAAATACTATTAAAATTAGTGAATTTAAAGTATAATGAATTTTAAATACTACACCACTTTTAAAACCTTTGGGACTTTGGGCTGCGAATCATGGCTTGCAGCATAAACATCTAGGATAGTAATGAAAAGGGTATTGCACAAATTTGCAGAAGGTTTTCCTTTGTTGAATAATCTTTTTTTAAGAAAAAACAAAATTGAGATATTCCTCATCTGAATAATCAAATAAATTGAAAACATATATATTGCAGAATCAAAATCCTTCAAGCAAGCTGAGAATTGCTGGATTCAGAAACTTACATATGTTGCATTCATTGATCTGCCAGACTTTTACATCACATCTCATGATCTCCCAAGCAACCAAGTACAAAAAAAAAAGGATTCAGGGCTGCCATTTTTGGAGCACCCGATGAGTTGTTACAACAGTTCAAAAGAAAATACGACAACTTTACATGGCCTAATTTTCATCTGTATGGCATGCTCCCACCTTTTTGAGCAGCAATATTACAACTGTGAAGGCAGAGTACTATCTTGACCTCTTTGAGCATATCATTGTACAAAATGTCTTCCCTCCAGATCCGAGGGAAGGAAAAAGAATGTATAGTCCAAGGAGAGCTGGCCAACCCAACAAAAGAGAGAGTGCAAACATCAAATCAGGAAAATTTTGTGGATGACATGCATGCCTGGTGCATTAGCGACATCAATAATTTATATTGTTACCTCTGTCAAAAAGAGAAGTGTTTCAAAATCTCACTACTTTTGGTGCTACAAAGCTTCTTTTGATGAGTTCATTGATAACACCACATCTCGAGTGCTTCCTGAGATGACCTTGTTCTCGTCACCTTGCTGTGGGTTCGCTTGGGGTTTTACACTGAGCTTGTGGTTGTTATATGCAACAACACCAGCTATGGCTGCAGAGATGCAGGATTTTTAAGTAAAACAGACCAATAGATACTGAAAGACCAATCAATGTTAAAATAATTCAGGATTCATCAGTCAAATACCTATGGCATAACCAATTATATTTATGAAGGTAAGCTGTGTATCAGTGAAGATGGCAGCTGACAGCAAAACTACTGACCAATCCCTCACAACTCCAGTAACACGAGCTGTCAGCGCACTAGTCCGAGATATGACAAGGAAAACCGACATATTGAGTACGAAAGTGCACAGGCAGTTTAAGAACAATGTGAATGGCGGGAAGTTCCATGAAATACTATCATCCATCTTTGGCTTCTCTAAGAACAACCAGGGAATAAAGAGGCATACAGCACTGCAGGAAAAAAATCATTGATGAAACTAAAAACAATTATTGGCATTTTCAAGTTAATTAATTAGAAAGTGAACGGAAAACATACCTGCAAGGGCTAACATAGTACATCATGGATATCAAGTTCAGCTTGACGCCCTTTTTCTTCAGAAACATCTCAATGAAGATAAGTCTTAGGGCTTCCGCAACAACTCCACCCATCTGGTAAACCACTCCAACCCAACTGATTGTAATTTCACCAACAGAAGCCACAATAACTCCGACACTGATAACAGACATGATAGAAAGCATTTTATAGCTCATTTCTTCCAGGCCAAATGCTGCTCCGAGAAGAAACACAGCTACAGGCACTGTAACGTTCAGTGAGAAGATATTAGCATCACATGCAAGTTTATCAAATCCCGATATTTTCCTCACAATCAAAACTGAGGGTAGCACACATACTTATTGCCTTCAACATCTGTGCAAATGCAACAGATATGTAGAGGTATGCACTGTTCCCTAGCCAAAGTGTCATTGCAAACATTGCTCCAATTGGAATGACTGAACTGATATATCTGAAAGTTCAGGGGAACTAATAAGGAGAAAAGAAAAGGCAGTTCTTGTACTTACAGTGAATAAATAAAACCATGAGTTCAAAACAGCATAGTATGGACAAAAATAAATTTTGAACAGTACAGTAGGAAGAAAATGACGAATTCTGATAAATACTAAACCACCCAAGTTCAGTTCCTCATCAAAACGAATATGGGTGTCTATTTCTTCTTAATATTGTTCCTCATAGGTGGTTTAGGTTTCCATTTAAGAAACAGAGTAGAAAACCAATATGCCCACAATTTCCATATCTAAATCAAAACATTTCCTGAAGGATTTGAAGCCTACTTGTTCAAAATTTCAGATTTTTGATAAAAAAAAAAACATGGTCCGATTACCAAGAATTGTTCAACCAAATTCCAAGTAATCAATACGCTCATCGGCCAACTTTGATATTTAAAAATACAGGTCACTCATAAATCTCAAGTTCATGACTATATAATTTTTCCTTTCATGGTGAGAATGCTACCCTGTTTTCTTCAAGGTAAAAAAAATATTTCCTCAAGGCCTTAGTTATCAACATTAGAAATTTAGAACATAACATCATTATGCAAAACTCATAAACTGCCTTTGTGATCTGCTTATACAAGGTAAGATAGACATGTATGCAAAGATAGGTGAAAATTAATTAGAAAGAAAGTAGCACATAAGCCTCTATGGAATTAGAGTGAGCCAATCAGCTGAGACTCACATATCTGTAGTCATTCCCTCCTCAATCTTTATGATCTGGGAAATATCGTCAATATAGAAGGAAAGAGTAAGTGCGTGCCCAGATGTACAGAATACCCAAGGCAACAAATGGAACCTTGGTATTACACCAATAGCTAGTAATATAGCAAGCAAAGTGTGTTCCACTATAATGCACATGAATAATTACCTTGAAAACCTTTGTAATTACGAAGCATACTACAGACGAGAAGACCATGTGCAACAGAGTTAGTGCCACAGGATAGGGGAAGTTGATCTCTTTTGAGGATAAGACCCACTGCACCAAGGCAAAACCAAGTACTTAACAGTTAATAGCACTACAAAATGAACAGGAATACATTAGCAAAATTCAGTGAGGACATGGAGTCGGTCATCGTATAAAAGAAAAGTTAGCCATTGAATTGAATTTTGATGCAACTGCTAGTGTAGGGAAATTGCATGAGGCAAGATAGTTTTACAACTCCACAGAAACTATCATTGAAGCAAATAAAAGTAGTTTAGCGGAACTGATACATGTTGAATCAGAGTGTCGCGATAGAGGCCAGAAGCCCAGACCCGTGCATTACAATGTGAAGTCAAACAGAACCAAGTCCTCAAGTGTCCTAGTAACCGATAAGGATCAATCCAATAAAAGCCATGGCTAATTCAATTGTACCTTCATATATGCGCACAAGGAAAAAGACAGCAGCAAAAGTGGAGCTCAATTTCTTATTACTGAAGCAGCTATCTGCTGCCACATGCTGAGAGTTAAGTCAACCCGCCCCAACCAACCGAAAGAAGTTGCACATCGTGCGAGCAAAAGGAACCAAGCAACGAAAAGAAGTGGGTTCCCCAGATCTCAAGCTGATGAACAGTGATGTTGACGGGAAAGGATTTTGCACATGACACTCACAGTTGTCCAGATGAAGCCTGTCTAACAGGGTAGGATAATTGGCACCTACGAGCAGCAATTTCGTGATGAAACCAAATAGCAATCTAAATTGGGTAAAGCTGACAGCCCACAGCCCAGATGAGCAAGTATTTGGCACTGTATGTGTCCCCTGGGGAAGTATGGAAGCACTGAAGCAATAACTAGGTAAATGGTAAACGAACCACAAGGGGGGGCCGGGAGGAGGCAACTAGGGACTTCTCGTGGAAGCCCGCTCAGAAATCAGAAACCTCATAAACTTAAAAAGGCTCAGGTGTCGCATCCAGGAGATCGTCAGGAAGGAAGAAGCCGGTGGCAAAATCTCGGCGCGCTGACTCCAGGGCCAGCAGAGACGCAGCCCACCCAGTGAGCCACCAGAAATCCCCCCTAACTGGAGCGCATTGGAGCCTTCATCAGGATTCAGGCCTGCTGGGGAACTCCGCAGCGGGGGAGGAAGGAGGCCAGGGGGTAGGTGAGGCGCGGCGTGGCTTGCCTTGTTGAAGAAGATCTGGCCGCCGGAGATGGCGATGTAGAAGAGGAGGTGGAAGTAGGTGACGGCGCCGTCCCTCCACGCCGCCATCCTCTCGGCCGCCGCCGGCGGCGGAGAAGGCGGCCTCCCGCTCCCGCCATTACCTCTCTCCATCGTGGCCGCGGGCGCTCGCTCGCCGTGTCGTCGGCCGGTGGGTCGGTCGGTCGGTCGGTCGCCGCGAAGTGTGCCGGTGCTCGCCGCCTGGTTCGGTCTGGGGGGCTGGGGCTGTGTAGTAGTCCTACACTAGACGATGGAGTGCCTGCCTGCCTCGTGATTCGCGTCGGGAGGGAAACAGATAGATTTAATACTTGTCGGCCCCAAATGTTTGCGTGCATGGTGCACCGCACGCCCCCTTTTCGGCATGACTTTCATTTTGCAGGCACTGGCCGCGTTTAGATTGCGGCTGCTACGTCTACGACGGCGACATAATTTTTATAATTTGACTTTTAGTTTTTTTTATCGTTTTAAAGAAAATTTACGTTCAGCTTTTGGGATGGAACTAAACAAACTTAGGCGGGAGTGCCTGCCTGCCTCGTGATTCGCGTCGGGAGGGAAACAGATAGATTGGGGAAGGAATGTTTGCGTGCATGGTGCACCGCACGCCCCTCCCGGCACGACTCGCGGCAGGTGGCCGCGGCCTGCGGCTGCTACGAGTCTACGACGGCGACATAATTTTTTATAATTTGACTTTTTCGTTTTAAAGAAAATTTACGTTCAGCTCTTTGGCAAACTTAGTCATTGTTTAGATTTACTCTAACTTCCAAAAGTTCTTCTGATCTAATTTTAATATTTACGATGCGTACGTGATCATTAAATGTAGACGCACGCGGTTTGATGGGAAATTACGAGGCATTTAACGTTTTGGCTGGTACCCATATTTAAACACTATTTACCAAATAAAAACGAACGTGCTATCGTAACTCAAAATTTAAATTTCTCCAACAGGGCCTTAAACTCATTTTCGATCCTACGGGTTTACGTCACGACTCATGCGCCGAGACGCGACGCGGCTCCAATATGGCATAGCTCGGCGCTGTGAGGCCTGGCGCCGACCTCGGCTATACCGACCTACCTGCGCGGCGCCCAAAACGCGAGAGACGCGCCTGCTGCCTGCCGTCTGGCTCTGGCACCGCCGCGCTCCGGCTTCTCCCGTCCCTGTGCCGCGCAGGGCACGGGCGCCGCGGCAGTCTGCCGCGTGCGCGCACCCGCGTGAACCAGAGAGACGACGTGCCGCGCAGTTAAAACGAGTCACGTCGTTCGCGGATGCGGCACAGCTGCTCGCTTGCTGGACCGTGTATAAGCGCAGCAGCAGCAGCAGCAGCGGCAGCCTGCATCACTGACGCAGTGTGGCCACTGGCCACTGCACAATGCCTAGGATTTTATGTGTTCAGTGTGACAGCAGCATGGGGGGCTCCTGTTTCCAACGTCTTTCCCCCTACCAAGTTGGCCTGTGTTGTATTTTACAGCTAGCTCGGCGTCCTCTCCCATATCTTGATTTCCCTTTCGTTTGTTTTTTTTGCTTGAAAAACGCATGATATCATGCATTTAGCCTTTCGTTGTTTTCGATATACTGTCTGTATATAATTTTTTTTAAAATTTTTTGTTCCACACAGCTTTGCTCGAAAGAATGCGTTTTTCTATTTGGATTCCTGCCTTACCAAGCACTTCGTGTCTAGAGGTGGTAGGACATTGTCTATCTGGATTCCTGCCTTACCAAGCACTTGGTGTCTAGAGGTGGTAGGACATTGGGAAGAATAAAAAGTATGATACAGTACCTGATACAAATATATAAGAGGGAAAGAAAAGTATTATAAAAGTGGTTAGAGTGATTTAAAATTTGAAAATAGTTTGAGATTTTTGATACAAAATTATCTTTTATATTTTAGGAACAAAAACTATTTAAGAAACTCAATAGATATACTCTGACTTTTTTAGCCACTTAAAAGCTCGTTGATTTACCGATTGATTTTTTTAAACTATTAGAGATGCTCTAAGTTTTCATCCACGTGGTATGAGGACGAGTGTGACAAAATATCACCGATCTTGTTACCAACACATGATTAGTCCACTGCACCACACTCAGGTTGTGTTTAGTTGTAAGAATTTGGATTTTGGGGCTACTGTAGCACGTTTGTTTTTATTTGGTAAATAGTGTTCAAACATGGACTAATTAGGCTCAAAACGTTCGTCTCGCAATTTCCCACCAAACTGTGCAATTAGTTTTTCTTTTCGTCTACATTTAATATTCTATACACATGCCGTAAATATTCGATGTGACAGGTACTATAGCAAAATTTTGAAAGTTGAGGTAGAACTAAACAAGGCTCAAACACATAAAATCCTGGGCATTGTGCAGTGGCCAGTGGCCACACTGCATCAGTGACGCAGGCTGCTGCTGCTGCGCTTGCACGGTCCAGCAAGCGAGCAGCTGTGCCGCATCCGCGAACGACGTGACTTGTTTTAATTGCAGCGGGGCCGGCACACACTGCGCGGCACGTCGTCTGTCTGGTTCACGCGGGTGCGCGCACGCGGCACGCAGCCGCGGCGCCCGTGCCCTGCGCGGCACAGGGACGGGAGAAGCGGATCGCGGCGGTGCCAGAGCCAGACGGCAGGCAGCAGGCGCGTCTCTCGCGTCTTTGGGCGCCGCGCTTACCGAGGAGCAGCGCAACGAGCCCCGCGCGGGTAGGCCAGCGCCAGGCGAGGTCGGTATAGCTGAGGTCGACGCCAGACCTCACGACGCAGAGCTTTACCATGTCGTAGCTATATCAGAGCTCCTGTTATCATCTGATCTTCGAACTCGGACGTCATGTTATCATCTGGGCTTCGATCTCGACGTTAAGATTTGTGGCGTCGAGACGTATTACCTCGACGTCATAAGTCGTGACGCCGACCTCAAGATCTAAAGATTTGTTTAAATCGGTTAGGGGTTAAACATAAATTTTTTTAAAAAAAAGGTCAAATTATAAAAAGTTAGGGCGACGGCGATCTCTGCTTCACCCTTCGTGCGCTTTTGCTTTGGTGCTTTTGCTTTGGTGTTGGTTTATTTATTTATTTATTTACTAGTATCGTGCTCGTGCGTTGTTACGGGATAACTAAACTTTTGTTCTAAAAATACACAGATCACACGATAAGATAACAATACTGTAAAATTAAATACCGACGTTAAACTGATATTTAATTCAAAAAATAAAGTTCGTAAAAAAATAAATGAAAATTATAAACGTCTAATTCCTTTACACCATACATTAACCATGGAAACTTCATAAAATAAAAGAGATAAAAAAACAGAAACATAGATTGACATTGAGAACACCCACCCGTCGTAGAGGGAATCTGCTGTTGTTTAATGCGAGAAACACAAAACCACGTTCCTCGGAATGATCAAACATGCACCACATATCGGTGACACCATGGGGTCATGCACGCCGCTGACACCGATGAAGACCCACCTGCAGAATACGTCCATGCTCATTTGGTAATTAAAATAATTAATTATATTATAGCTGAGAAACAATTGTAGTTAATTGAATTGAGTCATCAGTAGTAGCGGAAGATGAACATTAGATAAAATGCTAGTGCAAAGTGCTTCAATTAGGGGAAGAGAAATTAAGTGGAAACTGTTTATTACAATCAAACAAGAAAACCTCAGTTTTATTGATATGTCAAAACATCACGAAGTTGTAGATAGTTCAGGGAGTGTCATTTTATCAATAGAAAAGTTTAGCTTGCCTCACTTCACTGCCTTCTCTCATTTCCTGCAACAGTAAGATGCAGTCTAGAGAATCATTCATGAGTACTTGCCAGAAAACATTAAAGCACTGAATGGCACTGGAAAAAAAATCAGTTAACATATAATACTCCTATATCCTTATATTATGGTGCTAAAAAATCAGAACAGCAACTGCATTGGCTGGATTATGATCATAAGTTACTAGTAAAATTAATAATCTCTAAACTGCAAACCCTCCTTAAAAAGCTGCAGTCCCATGTCCAAGGATCGGACAAAGAGCTGTTACTAACAGCTCCGAAGGTTCCAAAACTGAAATCCTATTAGAACAAACCATGTCTAACAAATATATTTTTCCCATAAGCTGAATTGTTGCCTTGCAGCAACCTTGCTACATGCTAGCTTCACAATACCAGATTTTATAGCAGATCTAAGCACATACAGGTACAAGTTTCGAGTAGCATGGTTGAACAATTGTGAGCTGTAAATATGTGTTAGTTCGTCCCATGTGCGTGCAAGAATCAACAAATCAATAGATGAAACCTCTTTTTTTTGCAAACATGAATATATGTTGAGATTGGCTCTGATATAATTGACATGATGCTTAATTCTGAATTTAAATAACTGTCTAGAAAATTGTCTCTTTCATGATATAGATACGTTCATACTTGATTTAGGCAACGCGTTTCAATATTGCAGAAAATATGACCTTGTTCGTCACTTTGAATCTTTCATCCTGTCAAAGTACAAGTGTCATCTCAGTCATATACATGTATCACAATTCTTGTCATATATCTAAAGAAGCATATACAAATTATAGCACAATTCCATGTGTTAGTTGAATTTGATAGTTGGTTCTGTAGTTCACTAAAACAAATATTTTAAAAATCATTTCCTTTTTTTATTTTGGGTGTATGGGTAGGTACATTAACAGATTTACTCACAAACACAAACCATTCCAAAGAATACAAGCTTTGAACATATTGCAATATCAAAAATAGAGAAATCAGTAAATAAATTCGCCAATATAAAAATACATTGCAATGATCAAGTTGCAGCTTTATTATCATCAGACAACCACCAGAGTAACTTCAATTCTTGGTTTTAGATTATAGGAAATAATGAATATTTCAACTTTCAGGGGACATGATGTATACCTCAGGTCTTAGTTTCAAATCTCAGTCCGATCTCTTACAGCCAATGCTCACGAAACACTCCTTGTATGGGAGAAAGCTTGCTTCTGTGGTTCCTGCAATATTGAACACCTAGTAGTTATCCCAACAATGATCTTAATGGGTAAAAGACCTATCCAACCAAAATCTTCACTATCAAGTCGCAACAAAATCTCCAACAAAGAAATGTATACCAAAGTCTGGACGGCGGTGCG